GTATGGTCTAGTTTGCAGCGATGCCCTTTATCCAGTCCTTATAGAGAGCGTAAGATAGAGCCAAAATTTAGCCACTAAGAATGAAGTAATTCGATACGCATGGCAGTTGTTGCCACTGTGGTACAACAGAATTCCCTCTGAGGATTTACTACAACTCCATTTTTGGATCGTCACATCAATTCCGCTCAGCTTATGTGGCAATATTCTGCTTTAGCTGAACGCATACGGGATGGGTAAGACTAATCAATTCGTTAAAAGGCGTTGCGAAGAGCTCGTCATGTATTTAGAAGCAGTGGAGCAGCAGAATCATATTCCGACACATTAACGCCAGGTTTCCGTTTTGAGCCACACGTGTCCACAAGGTATAAGCATCAAAAAAGCTGCGCTTGGTAGCCATTTCCGTGAAAGAGCTCGGGCATTCTTCGGTGCGTTCATTAAAGAAGCAGCCTTCCTGACGTTGCGAATGGTGCCCAGTTTCCGCACGGAAAGTGTATGACGTCTTGGAGATGACGTATGTGCTGCGCCGGTAGCAGCGGCAGCGGCGGCATGCATCGAAGGACCGAACGGCTGCATCCAGCCATTAGAGAAAGATTATGTTGCAGGTAGCTCCTTTCGGTCCGGACGAATCGACACAACGCGAGTTCTTCGGACAGTATTTGTTGGCGCAGGTTTCAGGCTCTGCAGGCAGACGGAGACCGGGGTTAATCGAGTGTGGTGTGACTCACGAGCTACAGGCGCACGTCAAAATCTCCGGCTTTGAGAGCTGGTCTCTTCCCAGACACATGGAACGATCTAATCTGGTCATGTGATTGCCAGGGTGTAATCTAGGCGACAACCCCACGAGAAAGTGTCGCCTATATTAAACATCACACAGCGGCTGCCGAGCCCACGTCTCAAGAGTGCCCATCCCTCGTCTCCTTGCGCAATGTATCGCCGTGCCAAAAGCATCGCACTCGGTAGCGACAGCGCTCGCGCCAGCCTGCCATCAGCAGGGTGTGCACACTTACGAACTCCCCGCCGACAGAGAGCTCCGGAGGGTGTGTCGATGCAGTTGAGGCCTGGTCGACAAACGCGGATCTGGCACGTGTTGGGATGGCACCTGGCTCCCTTCTCGGTAACGTGGCAGTTGGTTCCTCGTGGGCAGGATATACTCTCGCAGTTTTCCACGTCTACGGAGGGTCAGTGCGTCTCGTCAAGCGGCGTCCGTCCTCGCAGCGGGGACGCAGTACGACGGGTCGTACAAGGCCTCCAGCCGCGTGATGACACCACACCCAGCACCCAGAACGCAAAATGAGCGCCCTATTTCTCGTCGGCGGTAAAATAGGCGACGAAAATCTGTCTGGCCAATATGATTGTCAAATCCTGCAGCGCATTGCTGGAGCGACCACTCACGCGGTGCCCGGGGAACCACCCGGGTTCCTGTGTCAATTGACATTGAAGAGTTCTGAAATATCGAGGAATCATTTCGCGACTTAACTGAACTTTT